TGATACTTCTAGTACTGCAATTTATCACGTTCTTACGAATGCATCCGGCTATTTTATACAAAGTGGAACTATTCACACAGATATTAGCGACCATTTTCCCGTTTTTTTGTAATTTTGAAAATTTTCAGCACGCTTTTAAAAAAGAGGATACGGTCTTGAAGTATGACTATACTAATTACAACCAATCCATGTTTATTGCAGACTTGAACGAGATATCTTGGCAGCCAGTGTATGATCACTCCAACCCTAGTGCTGCATATAATACATTTTATGACTTATTTTATACGGTTTTGTGTAAGCATTTGCAGGTCAAATTAAACAAAAGGAAATTAAAACATCCATCTAAACCATGGTTGTCAAAAGGTATAATTAAATCAGTCCAAACCAAACACAAATTATTTGCCAAGATGAAAAAAAATCCTGGCAACTTTGAAAAACAAACGAAATATAGAACATATAGAAACCTTTTGACTAAACTCCTCAAGTCAGCAAAGAAACGCTATTATTCAAATAAATTCAAGTCCGCGCATGGCAATACTAACACAACTTGGCGTGTAATAAATAATATTTTAAATAAATCAACTAAAACATCACCACGTACTTTAAATTCATTTAGTCAGTTGCCCTGTGAAAAAATCCTGACAGAAACAACAGATATTGTTGAAGAGTTTAACCATTTTTTCACCAATATCGGATCAAAACTCGGGGATAACATTACTGCCCCGGGCGACTTTACTGAATATTTAACTGGCAATTATTGTGACTCTTTTTATTTTCGTCCTGTGAATGAGAGTGATATATTCAATGAAATCACTGCCCTAGATCCTGGAAAATCAGTAGGACATGATGGTGTCCCCCCCTAAAATTGTCAAGCATGCTAGCCATATCATTTCTCACCCCCTTGCCCACATTATCAATTGTTCAATTCGCCAAGGTATATTTCCTAATGCTCTTAAAATAGCGAAGGTCATTCCCATTTATAAAAAAGCTTCCGCAAATGATGTCAACAACTACCGTCCAATATCCATTCTACCTATTTTTAGCAAAGTATGCGAATCAATCGTTAATAAGCAATTAATTACATATCTTGAGAAAAATCCATACTCATTGATACTCAATTTGGCTTCCGTAAAAAACACAGTACAAAACTTGCCTTGGCTGACTTGGTGTCCGACATAGCTGACATCTGGACCTCGGCCATATCACCTTTGGTATTTTTATCGATCTCAAAAAGCCTTTG